TTTAGGATCTTTGTGTGACTGTTCATGTGATGAAAGGTTTTTTGCCTTAGTCATAGTAGTTGTTGAGCTGAGGATGGGAAGGCCCACCACACCCACGTCACCTCACACCAACACACCCACACCACCACACCCACGCCATCACCCACACCATCACACCCACGCCATCACCCACACCACCACACCCACGCCATCACCCACACCACCCACCCACGCCATCACCCACACCACCACACCCACGCCATCATCTGCACCACCACACCCACGCCATCACCCGCACCACCACACCCACGCCATCACCCACACCACCACACCCGCCATCACCCACACCACCACACCCACACCACCACACCCACGCCATCACCCACACCACCACACCCACGCCATCACCCGCACCACCACACCCACGCCATCAACCACACCACCACACACCCACCCCATCCGCACCACCACACCCACGCCATCACCCACACCACCACACCTCCACCACCACCACCACACACTCCACCACCACCACCACCACACCTCCACCACCACCACCACCACACCTCCACCACCACACCCACCACCACCACCACCACACCCTCCACCACCACCACACCCTCCACCACCACTTTCATAATCAAGTAATGCTTCAGAATGAGGTCCAGGAAGAGGACTGACTGTACTGTATCTTAAATAATGGCGGGAGAGCTGACAGGTGTGTCAGCCCTCCTCACCCACACCTCTCTCCTCACCACACACCTCTCTCCTCCCTCTCCTCACCACCACACCTCTCCCTCCTCACCACCACACCTCTCTCCTCCTCACAAAAACATTACCTCAAACCTCAACCTAACCAAACCTAACCTAACCAAACCTAACCCAAACTAACCTAACCTAACCTCAACCTATATGTTCGACTTCCGTTTCGTCTCGTGATGTTCAACGATCAAATCATGGCCGGGTGGTGGTGGGGGGGGTGACCCAGGAAGGGCAAAGGCGGTGACGTCATGCACGATCCTCCTCCATCCTGTGAGTTCCAGGGTTCCTCTCAGTCACCTCTACGACCTAACCTAACCTAACCTAACCTAAATCTAACCTAACCTAACGTTACTTTACACTACCGAAACATTATCCAAATCTTAACCTTATATTCACCTATTTTGTTTACCTTAACCACTCCATTCTCCCTCTCACCACTCCATTCTCCCTCTCACTCCTCCATCCTCACCTCCCCCACACACACACTCCACCTATCCTCACCCTCCTCCATGTAGTTCCTCCTAACCTATCCTCCTCACCCTCCCCCCCCCTTGCTTGGCGCCAGGGTGAGTAATCTAGCCAAGGGAGATAAAGTCTCTCTGTCCTCCCTTGTCTCCGGCACCTCCCCTCCCTTCTTCTCCCTTCTTCTCTTCCTCCCTTCCTCTCCTCCTCCTCTTCCTCCCTTCACTCAGGGTGGGGAGGAGGGGGGGGGGTGAGGGGGAAAAATTATCTACCTGGGCATAAGTTAATTGTCTATTTGGGGCATATTATGTGAAGGTGTGGATGCAGGTGTGGATGCAGATATGGGTGCAGGTTTGGTTGCAGGTGTGGATGCAGATAGGCAGGTTTGGTTGCAGGTGTGGATGCAGGTGTATGGTGTTATATATTGGTGATGGCGGCCAACAAGTACACCAACACGTACACCTGCATTTCTATAAGACACACCTGCATACATTGGCATTTTTCCCAACGAGAATAATATACGTGTGTGTGTGTGTGTGTGTGTGTGTGTGTGTTGTGTGTGTGTGTTAGCGGTGTGGTGTGGTGTCGTTGTGTGGTGCGAGTGTGGTATGGTATGGTGTGGTGTGGTGTGGTGTAATGTGTTAGTTGTATAATGTGTTAGTGGTGTGGTGTAGTTGTGGTATGGTGTGGTGTGTGATATGGTGTGAGTGTGGTGTGGTATGCTGTGGTTGTGGGTGTGTGGGTGTGTGGGTGTGGTGTGGTATGGTGTGGTGTGGTAAGGGGAAGTGCGTCGAGGTTTACGTCATCTGCCACACGTGGGTAGTGTAGCGCCCACACACACACACACACACACACACACACACACACTAGACTGCCTCAGGTTAATTAATAAGCACCGTTCAGCCTCATTACCTCATCCTCAAGGTAAATACTTTATATCACCTGAAGTTTAACCTATCCTAGCGCTAACCTAACCTAATCTAATCCAACCTATCCTAGCGCTAACCTAACCTAATCTAATCCAACCTATCCTAGCGCTAACCTAACCTAATCTAATCCAACCTATCCTAGCGCTAACCTAACCTAATCCAACCTATCTTAGCGCTAATCTAACCTAATCCAACCTATCCTAGCGCTAACCTAACCTACCCCTCACCTGTCCTGATAGCATGAAATAAGCTGGGGTGTCTAATCTTCAACTGATCCGACTATTTATCAAACGGAAATTCCTGGTTAGATTTCTGTAGGTAATGCAAATATAGAACTTAAGCCCTTGAGTACGATGACTTAAGCCCTCGAGTACGATGACTTAAGCCCTCGAGTACGATGACTTAAGCCCTCGAGTACGATGACTTAAGCCCTCGAGTACGATGACTTAAGCCCTCGAGTACGATGACTTAAGCCCTCGAGTACGATGACAAACCTCCTGAATGCATGTTACTATCGTGAGTAATGTTACGCGGTCGAGCGTGAGTAATGTTACGAGGTCGAGCGTGAGTAATGTTACGAGGCCGAGCGTGAGTAATGTTACGAGGTCGAGCGTGAGTAATGTTACGAGGTCGAGCGTGAGTAATGTTATGAGGTCGAGCGTGAGTAGTTACGAGGTCGAGCATGAGTAATGTTACGAGGTCGAGCGTGAGTATGTTACGAGGTCGAGCGTGAGTAATGTTACGAGGTCGAGCGTGAGTAATGTTACGAGGTCGAGCGTGAGTAATGTTACGAGGTCGAGCATGAGTAACATTATGTGGTCGAGGGTGAGAAGTTATTAAGTCAGTGTTTATCTTGGAGAGGCGTTGAGGTCTGGCGTGGAGGTCTGGCAAGGGGAGAGGGGGAGGAGGGAGGAGGGGTGCTGCATGGCGCCAACACCATAATATTTGACTGCTGTTTGAACCGATTTAGAAATGCTTGTGGTGGTATTAATTGTGTGTGTGTGTGTGTGTGTGTGTGTGTGTGTGTGTGTGTGTGTGTGTGTGTGTGTCATTACTGTGTTATATATTCTGGGTGGCGAAGACGACGTGGACTCCCCTTACCTCACCTGTGACGCTCTTGGCTTGAAAACTGAGACATGGAACTGTGTTAAGTTGACGTCATAAAGCTGATCCTTGCATTCCTTCTTCCTCCCTCCCCCATCTCTCTCTCTCTCTCTCTCCGTAAATAACCGTATGATAGCAGTGTCCCGCTTAACGTGCATGATGCGTTCCTGAAAATCTATAAGTAAACTGGATGTATACTGTACGTTAACCGGATGTGCGTTAAGAGAATGTACGTTAACCGATGTGCGTTAAGAGAATGTACGTTAACCGATGTGCGTTAAGAGAATGTACGTTAACCGGATGTGCGTTAAGAGAATGTACGTTAACCGGATGTGCGTTAAGAGAATGTACGTTAACCAGATGTGCGTTAAGAGAATGTACATTAAGCGGATGTACGTTAAGACAATGTACGTTAACCGGATGTGCGTTAAGCGGATGTACGTTAAGCGGATACGAATTAAACGAATATATGCTAGGTTAATGTTAGCTTATGTTACTTTTAAGCGGAAACTAACTATATCTGAACTAATCACTCCAACAATACTGTACGAGGTTATTGTACCGCCTTGCTTTTATCTTACTAGGTTAACTAAATTTTTGGCAGGTAACTAATTCATTAAAATCCCACGAGAGACGATACCATCCTGAACAGAAGCAAGTATTTTGAAGGCGGGTGTAGTGATGTGATGGGTGTGGTGAAGTGGTGGGTGGTGGTGCGGTGGAGGGGTGGATGTGGTGAAGAGGTTGGTGTGGTGGAGAGGTGGAGAGGTTGGTGTGGTGGAGAGGTAGGTGGTGGAGAGGTGGTGTGGTGAGAGGTGGGTGTGGTGGAGAGGTGGAGAGGTGGGTGTGGTGGAGAGGTGGGTCTGTGAGGTGGGTGGTGGAGAGGTGGATGTGGTGAAGAGGTAATACAGATGTTCCTCTTTGAATCATTTCTTCTCACACACACACACACACACACACACAACAACAACACTACCCGACACAAAGTTAAAATATCCTCATCAGTTAGTTACCATTGTGAGTGTCATTAAGTATATTCACGTTACTGATGTATAAAGCTGTAATAATCTTAATGATGTGTAATATATAGTTTCTCTCCTAATGAGGTTTTTATTAATCTCTAACAACACCTGACGCTCAACCTGTGGCAGTGAGTGTTGGAGGTCATCATGGTGTCCACACGTCACCACTTCAAGTACAGGTGACCAACATTACCCCTCTCACCTCCCTCTGGCCGTCGTCATGCACGCCCACTGACCGTTTATAAGACGTATTGCCTGTACTCTACGTGAACACCTTGACCCTATCCACAGAGCACGTTTAAACACCACAACAATGGCGACCTTAAAACATGGAATCAAAATATAAACACCCAATATATTTTATTATTTTATACATTCGCTGGATTTTGTGTTGTTTGTCGGTATTATTGTTCCTTATTGTGTGTGTTTATTTGTTGTTATGATTCCCCGGCCTACCTGCGGAGTGTCCCCCCCCCGCAACTCTGACCGAGTCTACAGCATTACGACTCCTCCTTAACCCTCCCCCACCGCCCCCTTCACAATATCCCGGGATGAGAATTTTATTTCCCCATAATTCACCAAAATGTGTTTCCCTTTCCAGTGAGTTTGTTTTTGTGTTTCTCATTCTCGTATGATGTTACAGTTGAGACAAAGCCACGGTGTAAATACTGGTGTATGGAGGAGTGTGTGGTGGCGGTGGTGATGCAACTGCTCACCAGTGTTCGTTCTCCTGCCCCCCCAGACGCGGCGTGATGGTGTGAGACGCCCCGCCTGAGGTCGCTGCTCGTCAGCAGGAGGGGTGGCTTTCTCGAGGACCCCTTCTTCAGGGATGCCTGGGGGGACTACAACAATGCTGTCAGGAGGATCGTCGATAGGTACACTCCAATTACAATACATGTGTCGTGTTACACCAGATTTAGTCTGGGTTACAAAGTATGACTCCCGCATGACAAACTTCCACCCACTTCAAAAGACTAAAACAGTAGAATGCCCCAAGCACTGGTGTGAATCTCTAGCAGCAGCAGCAGCAGCAGCAGCAGTAATAGTAGAGCAGCTGGGTAGCAAAAGTAGCATCCCGCATGTGTCGTGTTGACCCTGTAGGTGTGTGTGTGTGTGTGTGTGTGTACAGTATTCACTCAGCAGACCACCAAGTAACGTGGCCACTTTGCTCATATACCAAAAGTCTCAACGTTATTCAGTCATTAAATACATATACCCCACACTAGTTACTGTACTTGACCGTAAAACTGTTTTTTCATTAATGATAAAATGAAGATAAAAGTAGTCAGTGAACGAACTCTACCGTGTTTGAGATTATTGTTAAAACCTCTGTTCTGTTTCAATACTATAGGGGGTGTAGGGATGTGTGTGTGTGTTAGGTTAGCCACTACAACATCACACAACAAATAAATGTTACTCTGACGATCAATAATACGACGCTATACATAGAGTAACTAATACATTCTTAAGAGACGCAAATGATCCCTGCCTATCAGTCTGTACCCGAGTTAAATCCAAACCTCACACGTGTACGACCCCTGTGCCTTACATCCCTGCTTCACTCATAACCCAAACCCCACGTCGGAGGTCACACTGTTAAGCCCAGGAAACACTGCTGGTGTATACTGACGAAGTATAGCCTGGCGAGTGAAGGTCCCTACACAGTAATCCCAACCACTTATAATTTAGTGTCTCAGTAATACACCATTAACTCCAGCTACATAATGAAGGCACACACACACACACACACACACACACACACACACACACACACACACACACACACACACACACACACACACACACACCTATGCGCCTACTGGTTCACTTAAGTGTAAATATTAGAGATGGCCAGGTTAAGTGTTGTTAATTATAGCAGGTGGAGAGAGACTTACTGTGGCCATGTCCAATAATTACTCAAAGTAGAACAAAGTGAATAACTCTATACAGTGTTATTACAGTACTTATACAGGTGAACAGGGACTTTTTGATCACACTGTATACGGTATGTGAGAAAGTGCAACTTCCGGCACTTAACTGTAACTTCCAGCACTTAACTGTAACTTCCTGCACTTAACTGTAAACTTCCAGCACTTAACTGTAACTTCCTGCACTAACTGTAACTCCCTGCACTTAACTGTAACTTCCAGCACTAAACTGTAATTTCCTGCACTTAACTGCAACTTCCTTAACTGTAATCCAGTATTAACTGTAACTCAGCATAACTGTAGCTTCAGCACTTAACTTAACTTCCGCACTTAACTGTAACTTCCAGCACTTAACTGTAACTTCCAGCACTTAACTGTAACTTCCTGCACTTAATTGTAACTTCCAGCACTTAATGTAATTCCAGCACTTAACTGTAACTTCCTGCACTTAACTGTAACTTCCATTGCCATCTCTCGACTCCAACTCCTGCCATCTCTCTCTCACTGTTTCTGTCTGTCTGTCTAACACGGCCAGGTACAATAAACAAAACTAAACCAGGAAAAAGAAACACACACACATACACACACACGTCAACCCACTGTATTTTTTTACCACTAACCCCCAAAAATATATAAATTCATCTCCACAGGGTAAGAGGTCCCGCATCAGCCCACTAGTGTATCAGCATTACATTACTAGACACTGACCGACTACCGATATATTTCCCAGTTACAGGGTGTCTCAGAAAGAATTGTATACACGCTGGTTTATATATTTTAATGTAGATCGCTTGAATGTTTTTTATCATAACATCGATATTCTCTTCACTGCTGTTGTTTGAGGACAGTGATTTTTATATATATATAACGTGATCTCCAGTAAAATATGATTGTAGTGTGTATTTTTTTCTGAGACACCCTGTACGTCATTAACTCTACGGTATCTGAAGAATAAACGTTTGGCTTATTTTTTAATTAAACTTTTTTTAATATCAGAAGGTTGCTTTAATATTGTTTACAGCAGCTAACGTATAAGGCTTGACGATCGTTGTTGACTTGTGTGGTGGTGATGCTCATATGTTTTAGTAGCCACTGATATTGTTGTATAAAAAACATCCATAATTGATATACTTAACGATTTTAATACTATGGAAGACACAGGAATATCGGTAAGGATTAGAAAGATACGTACTGTGAAAGTTATGAGTCGTGAAAGAAGGTGGTGGTAGTATTAGTAGTAGAAGTAGTGGTAGTAGTAGTAGTAGTCATGGGGTCGTCCTTTGCAGGTTCAACCATGGCGGGATGTTCGCGCCTAGGGACCGGCTCCGGGACTCCCACTACCACTCCATGTACCGCACACTCCGCTCTGCCCGCATCAACTACTCCGCCCAGGCTGCAAGGTTCAAAGATGAGGGTGACTCGTACAAGGTGGGTGAGTGAGTGAGTGAGGACAACTAACTCCATGTATGAGGCGATTTGGCTTTATTATGAGGCAAGTTGCTTTATGATGAGGTCACATTATACACTGCAGTCTTGCCTCTCCTTACACTCATTCCCCTTCATTATTCATTTGTTTATATTTTACTAATTTTATAATTTTTACTTTACTTATTGTTACGTTTTAGGTGAAATTCAGTTCATTAATTTAGTACATGTAACAGCACTTCATACACACACTATACATGTAACAGCACTTCATACAGACACACACTATACATGTAACAGCACTTCATACAGACACACACTATACATGTAACAGCACTTCATACACACTATACATGTAACAGCATCATACAGACACACTATACATGTAACAGCACTTCATACACACACTACATGTAACAGCACTTCATACAGACACACACTATACATGTAACAGCACTTCATACACACACTATACATGTAACAGCACTTCATACAGACACACACTATACATGTAACACACTTCATACAGACACACACTATACATGTAACAGCACTTCATACAGACACACACTATACATGTAACAGCACTCTATACACACTATACATGTAACAGCACTTCATACAGACACACACTATACATGTAACAGCACTTCACACACACACTATACATGTAACAGCACTTCATACAGACACACACTATACATGTAACAGCACTTCATACAGACACACACTATACATGTAACAGCACTCATACAGACACACACTATACATGTAACAGCACTTCACACACACTATACATGTAACAGCACTTCATACAGACACACACTATACATGTAACAGCACTTCATACAGACACACACTATACATGTAACAGCACTTATACACACACTATACATGTAACAGCACTTCATACAGACACACACTATACATGTAACAGCACTTCATACAGACACACACTATTAACAGCACTTCATACACACACTATACATGTACAGCACCATACAGACACACACTATACATGTAACAGCACTTCATACACACACTATACATGTAACAGCACTTCATACAGACACACTATACATGTAACAGCACTTCATACAGACACACACTATACATGTAACAGCACTTCATACACACACTATACATGTAACACACTTCATACAGACACACACTATACATGTAACAGCACTTCATACACACACTATACATGTAACAGCACTTCATACAGACACACACTATACATGTAACAGCACTTCATACAGACACACTATACATGTACAGCACTTCATACAGACACACACTATACATGTAACAGCACTTCATACAGACACACACTATACATGTAACAGCACTTCATACACACACTATACATGTAACAGCACTTCATACAGACACACACTATACATGTAACAGCACTTCATACAGACACACACTATACATGTAACAGCACTTCATACACACACTATACATGTAACACACTTCATACAGACACACACTATACATGTAACAGCACTTCATACAGACACACACACTATACATGTAACAGCACCAGACACACACTATACATGTAACAGCACTTCATACAGACACACACTATACATGTAACAGCACTTCATACAGACACACACTATACATGTAACATAAATTTTCTCCTCTCACTTATCTTTTACCCATTGTGTGTTTCGTCTCAGGAAGTTCCAAGCGAGGGAGGAGAGGAAGGGAGGGAGAGAGAGAGGGATGGAAGAAGGGGAGGAGGAGGGATGGAGGAAGGAGGGAGAGAGGGATGGAAGAAAGGAAGAGGAGGGAGGGAGATACACGTAACCCTTTTCTGTTCAGCGACCCTTTTGACCCCTTGAATACGATAACTTAACCCCTTGAGTACGATAACTTAACCCCTTGAGTACGATAACTTAACCCTTGAGTACGATAAATTAACCCTTGAGTACGATAACTTAACCCCTTGAGTACGATAACTTAACCCCTGAGTACGATAACTTAACCCCTTGAATACAATAACTAACCCTTGAGTACGATAACTTAACCCTTGAATACAATAACTTAACCCCTTGAGTACGATAAATTAACTCCCTTGAGTACGATATTAACCCTTGAATACAATAACTTAACCCCTTGAGTACGATAACTTAACCCTTGAGTACGATAACTTAACCCTTGAGTACGATAAATTAACTGCTTGAGTACAACAACTTAACCCCTTGAATAAAATAACGTAACCCTTGAGTACGATAACTAACCCCTTAATACGATAACTAACCCCAGTACGATAAATTAACTGTTGAGTACAACAACTAACCCCTTGAATAAAATAACGTAACCCTTGAGTACGATAACAACCCTTGAGTACGATAAATTAACTGCTTGAGTACAACAACTTAACCTGAATAAAATAACGTAACCCTTGAGTACGATAACTAACCCTTGAATACGATAACTTAACCCTTGAGTACGATAAATTAACTGCTTGAGTACAACAACCCCTTGAATAAAATAACGTAACCCTTGAGTACGATAACTTAACCCCTTGAGTACGATAAATTAACTGCTTGAGTACAACAACAACCCCTTGAATAAAATAACTTAACCCCTTGAGTACGATAACTAACCCTTGAATACAATACTTAACCCTTGAGTACGATAACTTAACCCTTGAATAAAATAACTAACCCCTTGAGTACGATAACTTATCCTTGAATACAATAACTAACCCTTGAGTACGATAACAACCCTTGAATACAATAACAACCCTTGAGTACGATAACTTAACCCCTGAATACAATAACTTAACCCTGAGTACGATAATTAACTCCTTGAGTACGATAACTTAACCCCTTGAATACAATAACTTAACCCTTGAATACAATAACCCTTGAGTACGATAATCTAACCCCTTGAATACAATAACTTAACCCCTTGAGTACGATAAATTAACTCCTGAGTACGATAACTTAACCCTTGAATACAATAACCTAACCCTTGAGTACGATAACAACCCCTTGAGTACGATAACTTAACCCTGAGTACGATAAATTAACTGCTTGAGTACAACAACAACCCTTGAATAAAATAACGTAAACCCCTGAGTACGATAACTTAACCCCTTGAATACGATAACTTAACCCCTTGAGTACGATAAATTAACTGCTTGAGTACAACAACTTAACCCCTTGAATAAAATAACGTAACCCTTGAGTACGATAACTTAACCCTTGAGTACGATAAATTAACTGCTTGAGTACAACAACTAACCCTTGAATAAAATAACGTAACCCCTTGAGTACGATAACTTATCCCTTGAATAAAATAACTTAACCCCTTGAGTACGATAACTTAACCCCTTGAATACGATAACTTAACCCTTGAATACAGATAACTTAACCCCTTGAATACGATAACTTAACCCCTTGAGTACAATATAATCGTCCTCAAGGGGTTAATCTACACATAAAGACTACTCCCTCCCCCCTTCAGAAACTCTCTCTACATAATACAGTACATACGTTCTCTTCTGCTACATGTACTCGCTGTAGGATACTGTCCCTAGCTTATACATACATACATACATACATACATACATACATACATACTAGTGTGGTGTGACGTATGTACCACAAACCTGTCTGGTGGGTTAGGTTAGGTTTAAGGTTTGACAGGTTAGGTTAAGTTAAGTCTGGGGATGAGTAATGTGGGGGGGGGGAGAGGAGAAACTTGTTGATGGAGAGAGAGCCAACGACCGCCAAGGTTTACAGGTGAAAGGAACAAGTGTATGACCCAGTTTGACGTGTTACGAGCTGCCAGGAACAACAAGACTTTTACTAATGAAGAAGTAGCAGAAGAAGTAGAAGAAGACTACTGAGAAGGAGAGAGAACTACTTATACACAAGACTTAACGAGGTGAATGAGAAATATAGGTGTGTGTGTGTGTGTGTAGGCGGGACCATGACCTGGGTATACCACCACCATCAGGAATATAGGACACTTGCCCCACGCCTCTCTTCACGCCCCCTCACGAACCCTTCCTACACACACACACACTCACACACACACACACTCACACACACACACACACACACACACACACTCTGGTTTGCATCACAACACCAACATACATTATTTTTCATTCATAAACAATCCTAAATTTGGTGTAATCTATCTATCTATCTATCTATCTATCTATCTATCTATCTATCTAGCTATCTATCTATCTATCTAATGTCATTTTTGTCACGGTCATACACCTTATAGCCACACCTGTTACCTCACCCCTGGGTAAGGTTACATCACCACAGGAAAAATAAGAGGCAGGAGAAATTTTGTCACACTGTACAACTAGTGACGTGTGAGTTAGGTTAGGTTACGTTAGGTTAGGTTAGGTTAGGTCTACTAGAATGGGTTTTTTTTTTAAAGACGATGAGTTCATTTTATAGCCAAAATATGACATGGCTGAAGAAAACATTCAAAACCTAACCTAACCTTACCCAACTTAACCTAACCCAACCAAACTCAACCAAACTTAACCTAACCTAATTTGTTTAAAAAAAAATAGCTCCAGTTTATTTCACCTGATAATTAAACACCTCAACGCTACCTGGCGAGTTAGATTAGGCTAGTTTGATGACTTTGTAACTTTATATTACTGAAATTAAGTAATATTACATGAACCCATTTACTACTAGTATTTATATATTCTCCCCAAACTACAGAAAACACATTGACTGTAATTTGTTCCTACAGTCTAATAATACATTTCTACAGATACAAATTCACCAGTTGTTCGTCCTCCCTGTGTCTTACCGTATAAAGAACCATTATGTAGTCTTTTACAGGTTACAATAAACACAGTGTGGTGACGGTGTTGATTTTTCCACAGTTGGTGATGGATGTGAGGGAGTTCGTAGGTGGTGATCTGACAGTGCGTACAGCGGGTGGGACTCTGTCAGTGCGTGGGCGGCTGGAGACCGGCGGGGAGGGAGGCGACGCTGACTCCACTACCTCGCGGGCGTCCTCAGCTCGCACACTACACCGCCGCTTTAACCTGCCTCCCGACGCTGACGGTGAGAAGGTGGAGTCCATGTTGTCCAGGGATGCTGTCCTCACCGTCACTATGCCTAAGAGGGTAAGTCTCTTGATGTATTGAATTTTATTGATAACTTGTGCGTCCATGAGCAACGATAAGTAGTAGTAGTAGTAGTAGTAACAACTGCTGCAGATATCGACTATGAGGCTACAGTCACTGAATGCCGCATGGATCTGCGGCTCAACTAATTTAACACAGATAGGATAGTTTCTTATGTATTAGGATATTTAATATTAAGGTAAATAAATGGTGGCGAAGGTGTGGCTATTGGGGGAGGCTGGAGGCCACGTTGAAAAGTAGTAGTAGTAGTAGTAGTAGTAGTAGTAGTAGTAGTAGTAGTAGTAGTAGTAGTAGTAACCCCTGTTGTGAGTTTGTGTACTGGTATAAAAGTAGCCGTGATGTAGATTTAGCCATGGTTTATTGACATAATAAATGGCGTGATAAACAAGACGAGGGCACAGCGGGGCCACTACTATACCTGGTTGGGTGGGTGGCAGGGAACGCGGGCTGCCACACAGGTTGAATATATAGATGAAGCTCCTCTCTTAACTTGTATATATATATATAAAAAAAAAATCTGTCTGGAGTATTCAATCGTTAAGCGAATCATAGTATAACTTTCGAGTGTACAATGGCAGTAGAGAATGAAGGCTGCCATATGTACTGTGTATTTAAGTTAATATTGTGTTACCTTGATAAAAAAAATAATAATAATGCGTGGGATGGTCAGTGGTCTGGCTGGTAACTCGGGTGCGGCTGTGTTCGGGTGGTGACGCACACTGGGACCTGCTGCCATAGTTGTAAGTATGTATGTATGTAGATGAACTATATTCTGGATTATATGCAAATTAGGTAACCACCCCCCCCACAGCTTATTTCACCTGATGATTAACCATCCTAACTGTGCGTGGGGGAAGGTTAGGTAAGAGGTCTCCATTGATTATATGAATAATTTTAAAACTTATTTACTTGTGAGTGTGAAAGAATGTGTGATGGTGTGTAAGTGTGACAGACAAACAAACAACAATAAAATAATGATAATTACTACTACTACTACTACTACTACTAATAATAATAATAATTTTTCATCGATGGAGAATGTTAACTTCCTAACCTTATCAGGCGGACCAACTGTACTGCGTAAAGAACTTAAGGAGGACCAGGTCAAAATAGTTCATCCACTCTCCGTCTTGCTGCCTCCCAAAACATGTGTCCTCTAGTAGTGCTTTAAGTGAGTCAAGCGGTCCATTACTGTACGAGGTGAACATTCCTCAACATTCAGCGAGAAAGAACCAATAAGTTTCAAAATCATTTATACACTAAATTGGTATTTTGAAAACAAAAATAAGTTAACATATGATGTGTGGTATATTCTCGTCGTGATTACCCAGGTGTGTGTGTGTATGTGTGTGTGTGTGTGTGTGTGTGTGTGTGTGTGTGTGTGTGTGTATGTGTGTGTGTGTGTGTGTGTGTGTGTGTGTGTGTGTGTGTGTGTGTGTGTGTGTTACACTCTAGAATCTAGTGTAACACGCAATTTTAGATTGAATTTTGCCACAATCTGGACTAGATTTTGATAAAAATCAATCTGAGATTGTATACTGTATTATATTCATACCCTTCTAATTCAGTGGCTGTTGCTGCCGTCATGAAAACTTCAAGTAAGTCGCTGTAACTAACAGTACTGTTGATCTCTACAGACTGATGTGCGCGTGATACCTGTCACTATGGAGGGGGCGGGCGGAGGCGGCAGGAGTGGCACTAAGCGACACTCCGCCACCCAGCCTGACCCAGGACCCTCACCCCGCAAGAGGCCGCAGGACCACCACGACCCCAAGGACACAGACAAACGCACGACACAAACACCAAGAGAAAGAAGCACAAGCAGAAGGAGACACGCGTTTGGGATGAGTGAAAACAAAGACGGAGAAAGGGGCCGAGATAATGAGAGACAAAACAGAAGAGAAAGAGAAGAGGAAACCGAAAGATCCAGGGAGAGAACAAGCAGGAGAGGAAGTGATATATTTATGAGAGGCGGCTGCAACAGAGACGAGGAGGAAGGACACAGAAGGAGGAGCTACCTTGACAGTACACCACGAGGGGTAAACCAAGAAACAGATTACGGTGACAAAGACAATGTTAGTAGTAATAGAAGAAGAAGCCGAGATATAGTAGAAGACGAGACCGAGGATAAACACGGCCAAAGGAATCGCCGAAGGACCTCCAAGTATGAGGATGTGAAGGAAATCAACATCCCGATCAGATTGGAAAACTCGGGTGACGCAGAGACGGTAGAACAGTACCCTGCCGCCGGTGACATCAACACCACCACCACACACACTGGGTCTACCTCTGCCTCCCTCAGTAAAAACAAAATCGATTCCCCTCCAGTTACTCAATCCCGAGACAGGGACAACACCCAACACCGACCAACAGTTCGTCAGAAAGTGGAGAATGAAGCTTCCATCGCCTCTGACAAGCCTCACATCAGCTCCACTATATCCAAGGATAAATCTAATATCCACAAGGTCAGTGAGAAGGAAAACATCAAGCCGTGTGAAGAAGGCTCCCCCTGGACCTACTCTAACTTATACGTCAATAATTCTCAAACTAAAGAAAAAGGGCGCGAGAGCCAGACAAATGCTACAAAGGCGACTAGAGGTAAAGAGGCAGATGCCACGAAGAAATATCACTTTGGAAACAAGAGCCAGGGTGAGCCAGAGGTGAGGGTGGTGGCTCCTCCTGAAACTCCCGCCACTGCACTTGACGCCAACACCCACAAACAACAACTGAAGCAGAAAGACGCCAAGGGTGATGCTAAGGAGAGTGTTAAGTATCATGATGTGTGTGTTCAAAAAGACAAGGCGGATAAAAGACAAGATGATAGTGAAGGAAACAATAATTACCTGAGAAATTCCTCCCAAGACTCAGAGTCTCCTGAGAGCGGCAGTAAGTCTCCCTGTGGAGGTCGTGAGGTTAAGGTGGAAAAGAAACAATCGGATATGGAGGGTGACATGTTCAAGGATTGCTGGCAGAACTTCAGCAGCACCTTACAGGAGGTCTTGGCACGTCTACAGGAGCTGTCCTCTGAGCTGGGACATTCTAAACCTCAGAGCAAGACGTCCTCGCCGTCCACAGCCTCCTCCAGGCAGTCACCACCAAGTCCCTCACCCCAGCAGCCATCCAACATTCGGGTAAGTTGTCCAACATTCACTCACGTCTCTCTTGTATACATCAATAGTTGGATCCCAGTGACTGAAGCTCTTTACAATTATTTTATTCAGATATTGTCGAATGTATTAATAGACAAATATTTTCACTGAGTTTTAATGACCGGTAAGGAATGCTATTTCTTCATTTCCTTTATAATTGTCACCATCTATCCGCCCATCCGGGGAAACCCTGCCATGTCTGGTAGGGTCACACTGGATAAACACCCTCCTCACATCTGACCCAGGGATTGAACCCACGACGTAGTAATAAGAAGTAAGTGCATCACCGCTGTACCGTTAACAATGGAAACAGTTTGTCTTCAACACACAGTACGTGAGGTGAGAGTTGGACCAAGGAGGAAGTTTTAAGCTGTAGACGCCAGACTAGTCATTGTGAGGTGTGTTGTCCAGTGTCCCCACCATGGCCAAGCTGGGAATAATACTAGTGCTGTAGTGGTTCAGCCATGGCCAGGGCCATGGACCACACTGGCCATATTTGCTCTACTGCGCCACACTTACAAGCTATAAAGCCTTTACCGACATGAATCTTATGTAGTTAGCTCGATGCTAATGAAGCCAAATACCCGTTTATTATGAACGACATAGCGTGTTGAGGTAATGGTAAAAAGTTGAAAGACACAAAGTAGTGTGTCATAGGGCCCGAGTTAAAACACATCTCTGGGGGTTAGGTTAGGTTAGGTTAATATTAAGATGAAATAAGCTGGGGTGTCTAATCTTCACGTGATACAAGTCGTATAAAAATAGGAATGAGATCACGTGTGTGTGTGTGTGTGTGTGTGTGTGTGTGTCAGGGAGACTAACCTATGCTGATAAGACTTCACAATATATAATTAGTCCCTGTGTGAGGGTGTACAGTACAGTGTCAGAGCCTAAGTGAGAGATCTTATAATACATACATACGTGAGTCTGGGAAGTGTGTATGAACGCCAACGTTTTCCCTGATTACTTGAGGTAGGTGATGAAACATTTCCTTAGATGAGGGAGACTACAACACAGTTACTATAGTATGACATAAGGTGACACTAACATCTCACCACACTGTTTAACTCTTTACTCGAAATAAACGTAACATGTTAATATTTGTTACTTTATTGAAATATGTTAAATACCGACCCCCCCCCCCCACATGCCGACGACCATCACTTTGAATAACTACATGATTCGCGGCGAAGTCTTCAGATACAACTACCACAACAGTTAACTAGTGGCAAGTGGTACACGCTCAATGTACAGTATATAGTACACCTCTCTATACTTCGCGTGACACCTGGGAGAGAGAGGAGAAGGACGGTGTACCTGGAGGAGGAAGGAAAGAGGGTAGCAGGGGGATGGCAGGGTGATGGCAAGGGGGTGGCAGGGTGATGGCAAGGGGGGTGATGGCAGGGGGGGGGGGGATAGTATACACAAACAAGTTATTAAGGTGTTAGTGGCACTGGCAGTATAGGTTGGAAGGTCAGTGAAAGATGTGGTACTTTATCCCCTTACCTATAGATGATGATCACAGACACGAGAAAATCGGGCATAAACGGCGGTACTTGGAATGAGGGGACGCCGAGGGGTGTCTCTATGCATACGGGAACAAACGAGATGTCTCAGGTAATACAATAACACACACGGGATCGTAACTAAAGAACTCGGATCGTGTGAAGATTAGCATCACTCACTCCTTCCTTCCGTAGTTTATTTCACCTGATGATTAAACACTTCAATGTTACCTGGGAGAGTTAGGTTTGGTTAGGTTTGGGCTAGGGTGGTTCATCTTCAGGTAAAATAAGCTCTGAAGTGTCTCTAATCTTCAGGTAATCCAAGAATAAATACAAAAATATCCAGAAACTGTCTCAACACTGAACATCAATATATCCTTCCCTGTATAAGAAGTGAGACAAAAACAATAACAATAACAACAATGACAACAACACCAACAACAAAGACTTTAGGTTAGAAATTTGTCATCACAACCAATTAAGAGTTTCATGTTAGGTGTTAGTGTGTTATATAAGACAGGTGTGTTGTATAAGGCAGGTGTGTTATATGAGACAGGTGTGTTGTTGTATGGGGTAGGTGTGTTATATGCGGCAGGTGTGTTGTATAAGGCAGGTGTGTTATATGCGGCAGGTGTGTTGTATGAGGCAGGTGTGTTATATGAGACAGGTGTGCAGGACGAGACAGGTGTGCAGCATGAGGCAGGTGTGTTGTGTCAGGGTTGGGATACACCTGACAGTTTCTTGCATGGCGTATATTTTGTGAATACTTTGGCTAAATAAGTACTTTTTTCCTTTGGTGCAGTGACGTCATGTGTGTGTGTGTGTGTGTGGGCCGGGCCTTGGGGGTGGTGTTGCGTCACTGCCAAGGCTTACCGTATCTGTATATATATGGAGTAGCTCCCTTCACACCAACTTTCCTTCCCTAGCTGCCCGCCCACTAGTACTCCCCGCCCACTAGTACACCCCGCCCACTAGTACACCCCGCCCTCCAGTACACCCCGCCCGCCAGTACACCCCGCCCACCAATACACCCCACCCGCCAGTACACCCCGCTCACCAAGACACCCCGCCCACCACCACCCTCTGTACTCAATTTAACTCACTCAACAATAAATACACTAAAGCGATAAACAGCGGTAAATCACCATGACTCACCTAAGACCGTGTTTGCTGACTCACCCGAGACCGTGTTTGCTGACTCACCTGAGACCGTGTTTACTGACTCACCCGAGACCGTGTTTACTGACTCACCTGAGATCGTGTTTACTGACTCACCTGAGACCGTGTTTACTGACTCACAAAATAACTTCTTGATGACGTGGCTGTGTACAACATGACTCATTTGTTTTGTATTGATTGATTGATTGATTGATTGATTGAAATTTGCTTCGTTATTTGTTTATTTATTTATCTGTTTATTTACTTATATTTATTTACCTATTTAGTTATTTATCTATTTATTTACCTGTTAATTTATTTACCTGTTCACCATGGTTATCCCCTATACCTGGATCACCTGAAGATTAATCATCCCAGCTTATTTAATATCATAATTAAACACCCCAGATTAGCTCACCTGATGATTAAACACCCTAACCTAACCTAACCTAACCTAACCTAACCTAGTCTATCCTTACCTAATGCTAACCTAACAATCTAAAGTAATCAGGTAAAGGTGTTTAATTATTAGGTAATCTTCAGGTGGCCTCTAAAATTTAATTACGGTTCAGGTGGTCCTTGTGTTGACCCAATTATCTTAATCTGCGGTCTATTATAAATTAAGTATAACTTCTACTTCAATAATTTTATAGACACCTTAATCTCTTCTTATTAATGGTTCAATGGTGTACGGTGGAGATGTGTGTGTGTGTGTGTGTGTGTGTGTGTGTCCCAACAACCAGAGGGGCCAGGTCAGCCTTCCCACGCTGCCATAAGTGACGCCGTGTGGGACGCTGCCGCCCTTGTCCACTCACGCCTCTCTACCGCACTCACACTCCCTGCATTCATGCCCTCCCCGTCTCTCACCCACACAGTGCATTCATACTCGCTCTCTCTTTTTCTCCCACACAAGCTAGCTTACATACACATCTTAAGAAACGTATACAAACAGTACTCCCAAGCTCGTATATCTATATATATTTATCTGACGTGCTCTTGCGATGAACGTCAGCAGATATAAACACCGGGGGATAAGCTTACCATTATTATCCGGGGGTTCACACTCTTACCAATGGCTCAGAGATGTGTGGGGGGCGACGGTGGGCGACGCCAGGTTGTCTCACCACCAGACAGCGTATTGACGACCAGTCTGGTGGTGGCTGGTAGTTGGGTCTAGGTCTGCGCTGGTCGTCATGAACCAGCAGGCTCATAAAGGTCCGTCCCTCCCCGCACACAATGCCGGGGAACAAGGTACTCTGTCACGACGGCGACCCACTTGCCGCTGACACTCTACACCAAGATAACAAAGGTGATATGGGTGGTGAAGGAGCGTGTGTGTGGCGGACCTCACAAGCAGAGGTAAGGAAGAGTGAGTGTGAGTGTGTAGTAAGAGGAATGACTCACCTGACAGGTAAACACTAATGGTGGCTGGTTAATGGTCCACATCACAAGGTACCGGTAAAGAAGGGACGATTGTGGCACACATCACCACTCACTTGGTGCACCATTAAGTGTTATCTCGCCTCACACAGATTCATATAGACGCCTTTTACCTGGTTATGAATAATATGACCAACGAAATGAAAGATATACCTTATTCACCCCCATTAACTCCTCGCCCGAGCCAATATAGACTATCGTTGTAGTTGTATAATCCCCCTCCCCCACCCCTCAGAGCTTGGGTAATTAAAACTAAAAATATAAAAGAACTCGCCAAAGGACCCGAATCACCACCAGCCACTCACGTGACCTCCAGTGTAAGGCTTAGCTTAGGTTGCTTTGTCACTCCATTTTTAATAAGAATTAGTGTGAGTATCTTTCTTAAGACTCAGTTTAAACAAGGATTGTGTTATACAAATAACATTTACCAAATTATTAAATATGGGTGACAAGTTGCCCATACAACACTCAAGTGATTAAAGTTGAATATACTGTAAACATACAAATAATGATAGCCCACATCTTGTAAGAACAGATATACAGTACTTAACAGAGCGAGTCATCCTGGAGATGTGGTCCACCTGTCATTCTTTCTTGTTACGCGGTGGTCCTTCTCACGCTGGTTGGGGACGACCGTCTGACCGTGACTGGGTTCGACTGTCACGACTCTGTCCTGACTGAATCGAGCCCTTTCTGCTCGTCGACACCTCGAGGACGGGTATCCTGTATCAAGGTATAATACCCTGTACTTTATATGCGCCCCAGTTCCCGCGCTGAAGCTTCGTCGGCCACCAGCCGCGAAGATGCTACCGACTTCCATTACACAGGCGTCCGTGTTAAGTTTAGTTCGGTAATTTGAGAGGGAGAAGTGGGTCGAATTATTGGGGAAATACACTTACATTTCTCCTTGTCCTAAGAGAGCGAGGTAGCCTGCACTAGACTATCTCAACAGTTGCTTCCGACGATTGTATCAACTTGGGGTCAGGCCCATGTACCCTGTTCCAGACAATGGTCTATGAACCCTCACTCGCCACACACAGGGTGACCACCAGCCCCCACTTACTACTCTTCTCTGAGAGATTTCGCTAAATCTTGAAAACATTTACTCAATAATAATACGATACAGATTACGGGACATTTACGGACGTGAGATTATTATTCTGACCTGGGAAAAACATTTTCATACTCGACCCCAACAAAAATCTTTTCTTTACCGAACAACTCAAGAACGTGTGAACGTGTGTGTATAGCTCCTCCAGTGTCAATAGTCGTCATCCACAAGAAAAAACGAATCAGCTGTTTCTAAGGTAACTAATATCTATTTTTGGATCCATATTTGTCCCCTCTCGTCTCTCGGGGTATATAATACTGAGGTAGTAGGTTGGTGCGTCTGTTACACTGTGTAAAGGATGCAGGTTCATGTTTACCTGGAGATCAGCCCCTCCCCCCAGCTTATTTGACCTGATGATTAACCACCCTAACGCTAACCTAACCTAACCTAACCACCCTAACGCTAACCTAACCTAACCTAACCTAACCTAACCTAACCTAACCTTACCATATCTAACCAAGGTGATATAAACTGAGATGTTAAAGCTTCAGGTGATCAGGAATTGGTTTCATAGTGGTAAACCTCACTTCTCTCAACACACTCATACATTTACACACTCATAACACACTCATACATTTACACACTCTCAACACACCCATACACTTTCACATATACCACACCACTCACAACTCACACAAGTCAAGTAAATACTTGAAAAACATGGAAAGGCGGGGAAAAATTAAGTAGGAGTAAGAACGCACACACAAACATACAGTTATATTAACGGCCGTGCACGCGCGCGTGTATGTGGCAGCGTGCGCATGCGAGTAGGTTAGTTTAATTGTGCATGTGTGTAAGTATAAATGTGCGCGCGTCTGATTTCATGTATAAGCACGTGTGTACGTGTTATGTTTGTGTGTGTGTGTGTGTGTGTGTGTGTGTGTGTGTAGCTCTGAATATAGGTTTGACAGGTTGAGGTGCGGTCATGTTAAGAGCGGGTGTGTGTTATGTGGCGACACGGGTATGTTGATGAGTGCCTCGCGAGACACTGATGCCACTGCCTCCCTCCCTCATCTCTCCCTCTATACCTGCCTCACTCCCTCCCCCTCTCCCTCCTTCCTTACCTCCCTCCCTCCCTGAAGGCTAATCACCAGTATAAGTCGCCCTTTCCTAAGAACTCTGAAAAAAACAATTAACCGGTGTTGTGGAGTAAAAATGCCGTGGGCGAATGAAAGGGATTTAGAGAGGATGAGACAACAGGTGAGCGGGCCAAGAGCACCAGGTAAGTGTAACCAGGTGACCCGTTACCTCCTGCTTATCAGTGTTAGAAACTTACCACGGACAGGACCCCCTCCCCAACCACTGTTTTGTTTCATTTCCGGCTATGTACTGTACGTGGTAGTTTCCCAACATTGGCCATCTTGCAGCCTGTCATACTTCCAATTACCTGGCGATTACCCCCTCTCAGGTTATTTCATCTGGGGGTTGGGTTAGCATCAGGTTAAATAAACTTGGGGAGGGGCTAATTTTCAGGTGATGCCATACGTCTCCTGCACCGTCAGTCACACCAGTAGGAAGCACCACAACATTTCTTTTTAAAGAAGAAGAGTAACAGAGTTCAAATTTCTTCCATTTATTCGTCATGTCAACCTCCAAGCTGTTATATTTAGGGGGCGTGGCGGGGGGTCAAGGTCAAGGTCAAATGTGTAGTTAATCACCCAACCTAAACATTAACCTAACTTAACGCCATCCTACCCCGCGAGGTAGCGTCAGGGTGGTTAATCTTCAGGTGACCCCCAGTTGTTGTGAATGCTGGAACCCGAAGGTAAATATTATGTTAGGTAAGATTCTTCAGGGGTCTCTATGGTCTGTACATGACGCTGAACAAGGTGGTGTTGTGGGGATGGGGGAGGAGGTGATGGGTGGTGTTGTGGGGGTGGGGGAGGGAGGAAGGTAGAGGTGTTGGTGGATGAGGGAGGTGGTGTTGTGTGGGGTGAAGGAGGGAGGAGGTGGTGAATGGTGGGGTGAGGAGAGGGGGAAGGGAGGTGGTGAGGGGTGGTGTATTGGGGGTGAGGGGGAGTGAGAGGTGCCACACCGTTCCCGTCATCCAGGCCCACACACACACGCTAAAATTACACCAACCCGCCTCGCTTCTACTGTCATAGCCACCCACACTTGCCATGGTGGTGAGGTTAGGTGCTGGAGCATCCATACCCTGCGTGCACCCTCACCCATACCACACCTCCACCATCCACACTACCGCCCTTCAACACCTCCACCCCCACACCACCCCTTACCACACCTCCACCACCCACACTACCGCCCTTCAACACCTCCACCCCCACACCACCCCTTACCACACTTCCACCACCCTTACCACACCTTCATCACCACACAACCCCTCTACCACACCTCCAGCATCCCTACCACACCCCCGCCACCACCACACTCACACCACACCAGGTAAGACGGTTACCATTTAAGGCTATAGTTAATGGCGATACTGAGTGACGCAGGTGTAGGAGAGGACCGTCCTTCATCCTCTTACTACTAGCGGAGGAAGCCTTTCACACCGCGCTCATTCATCCCCGTCCTGAGGTCCTCACTCTTCTCTCCTACTGCCATTGTAATATCTAAAACTATTCTATCCATAAGTGAGGTGAGGTTCTGGTGGGAGAGTTGTGAGGGAGTGAGTATTAATAAGTGTTGATAATACTCGATAAGACAGATGATGTGTTTGAGTGTAGTAATAATCTTGATCTTCAATATCATCACCATGACCTCCTGCAGCTGTGTTGACACTGATCACAGTTCCTAGGTTCCCAACCACCTGGGAGTCATAGTGTACTGGAGGGGCCACTCACTGCCGGCTCCGTGTCCTACTTTTCTTGAAGTTACACACATGGTGACCCCTCTGGTTGATACTGTCATGGTTTTGGTCCTCTTGTCGTAACAGGTCGCTTCCAAGGTGTTTCACTTCATTCTTTCCCCCAACAGGTAGCCAGCAGCAGGAACTCACCACATGAGGAGGTAAACAAACGCCCAACCTCTGTGTCCAGTGAAGGCAGCGAGTGGGTGGCAGGGGAGCGAGGGACGACAGTGGGCGTGGGAGGGAAGCCACCTACAACCCCGCCCCCCGTATATGCAGACGAGAGGTTAGCCACAAGGTCAGGGCTAAATGGTCATGGTGCCAAATACGCTAAAGACTTTACTACACACCAAGACCCGTGTGTAACGCAAACCAAGAAGACTACACGTTACGAGGCAGACAAGCCAGGAATGCAACAGGTGAGCGGGTCTAGCGTATCGGAAAACGTGTCCGGGGTGCCACGGCGAGGTAGTGGTGATGGTGGCGGAGGTAGAGGCGGCGGGGCGCGGGCCAGGGATAACACCAGGCCGGTCAGTCTCGTCCTGCCCAATAGCGCACAGGGCGACGCCATAAGGCAACACATACCCATGAACCTCGACCTGGAAGGCAGCTCTGATGACCTATCAACTAAGGTGTCCAAACTTCAGACGAACGATGCACCTGGTCCCCGTCCTCGCCCTACCAGTCTTAACGTGACGCATGAAGGAACTCTTCTGAAGGACCTGAGGAAAAGCAGCCCAGTGGATGCTCTGAAGGACAGATTTCTCAGTCACATAACTCCGACAAGTGAATCTTCACCTGGTATCACCGACGTGCACTACATTCCTGTGGAGGTAGAGGCGACCAAGACTGTCCCCACCACCAGCAGGGTACCCGAGGACACAGCCTCTCGCGGTCGCCACACAGCTACTGGGGTGCCACTCCATCAGCGTCGGGGTAAAGGTGTTAATAGTCTTGTGATAGTGGACGATGACAAGTCTAGCACTTCTTCTAGTCAGGTGAGTACAAGTACAAGTGAAGACAATAGTAATGCAACATCGAGTGCGGATAGTGAGGGTGGTGTTGACAGTAAGGGCGGGTGGAAGGTGCCCCATCTGGCAGACAAGGCCGCAGCTGGCAACTCAAGTGCGCTGAATCTCGGCCCTGACCCGTTCCAGCAGCACTCTTCCAGCAGAGGTGGCGGTGCTGACTCACGCGCTCAGCCTCATGGTATCGGCAGTGGCAGCGTTACGGGCGGGTCTAAACCAAAGCCCAGCCCACTCTTGTCCTCCACATCTCCATCAGACTCCGATCCAGACGTCGATGAGATCATCAGTCAAGCTGAGCGAGTCATCGAAGAAACGAGGAGATTATCGGCGAGTGCCGCTAATGACTCCCTGGTGGTGAATGATTTAGGCAGAGACAAGCACAGTGCAATAAAGAGAGACAAAGTAAAGTCTACCGGTACTACCTCTAAACGGTCTGGATTTAACTTGGCTCCAAACATCGACACCCGGAGCTCGCCGGAGTCCAACTTCGTGGAGATACAGGAGGAGGACCATACACAACACAATAAAGGTAAAGGCGAGGAAGCCGAAGGTGTAGTAGAGGGCTGCCTCTCTATACCCTTGCTTGGGCCTGCTGGCCGCCCAGGACGACCCCGTCACAAGCCCACCCGCACCGCCCATACACATGTTGCTACACCGCCCACTCGTAACGACTCTCTGCTCATTGAGGCTGTTGACGATACTGATGACGTCACTGAGTGTGAGGAGGTGCGTCCCACAATAGTAAAGAGTCCAGAAATACAGAGTAGTGACGTCATGGGTTGTGCGCGAGAGAGCGGGCGAGGTGGGGGTTCTGAGGCCCCCCCGTCCCCCCAGGAGGCGCCACCACGCACCCTCGCACACCAGGCCCAGCCCACCCGAGCACCGCGCCGCCCCTCCAGCCGCGAGAGGATGGGCGGCCTCTTCTCACGGGGACGGCTCCGACTCTCCACGCTACACTCCATCCTCCTCACCAAGTGTCGCCGCTGCCTCCACCAGGAGCAAGGTTTCGTCAACACCACAAACACCCTCCACGCCCACACGTCCACACAGACCACGTGAGCACTCAACCACACCACAGGAAGAGCCACCGTTGCCACCATACGTCAGACAAAAGTCAGATACCTCGAAAAGATACAGCGGATTCAGCCATGTGTTGTCTGACAATGTTCGCAAGATGCGGGAGGCATGGAGCAACAAGCAGGAGTCACCGCCCTTGCAGCAGCGACGAGGGACACGGGTGCCTTCCAGCCCGCCCCCGTCACCCAGGAGAGCGCCTGATTCACCCAGGAGAGCACCCGACTCACCCAGGAGAGCACCCGACTCACCCAGGAGAGCACCCGACTCACCCAGGAGATCTTCCCTCTCCAGAAGTACACCCACGCGGGAGTCACCCTCAAGGTCACCCACTAAGACCAACAACTACTACAACTCCACATTCAGCAGCAGAAGTAGAAGTAGTTCCTCGCCTCGCCGCGGCAGCACCTCAAGTACTGAGGGTGTCCCGTCTGCCGCCCGGGATGACGGCCGCACCACTTATGCCTCTGCCAAGTCAGGTCGACCACTAGCAGACAATTATAGCCAGGGCGGGTCTGCTGCCCGAAGACCCTCGCCCGCCCGCACTGCCCGACGCACGCCTCCTCCTGCCGCGCCGTCAGAGCCGCCGCCTGCCTCACCCTTCCACCAAAAATTATTCCGGAGATTACGAGAGCGCCTTCAGCCCGACAGTGAGACCATCTGCTTCACCGAGGAGGAGGACAGATATAAGGTATGTAAACACTGATCACTTTGTTCATATACTTGTAACTACAAATGAAGGTATCAGACACCAACTCGACTCACCAGCGCAAACTTATATGAAATTTGTTCATTTTTATCAACTTGAATCAGAGATGAAAACATTGTCATATTTTCATGGATTACATGTCAATTTGTTGATGTTGCAAGACTCCTCCACAAGTGTTGCAGAACGTGTCACATTCTCCCTTGCATCCTGGCGTGTCTAGCACCAGATACAACACACAATATACCCTTCCTTCATTAAGAACACTACACTACAAGATCATCAGACAAGTATCAGACACAGAAAGTGCTCGTGTGTGTGTGTGTGTGTGTGTGTGTGTGTGTGTGTGTGTGTGTGTGTGTGTGTAGGTGGCTGGGGCGAGTGTGTTTTGTGAAGGTGTGAGAGGTGAGTGAGTGCATGTTTGTGTGGAGAGAGCGGTGTGTGTGTGTGTGTGTGTGTGTGTGTTTGTGTGTGCCATGACAATACTCTTTCTAAGGTGGCCTGACTGCTGGTGTTAAGTGCGGCCTTGTGAAATATTTTCCTGTTTCATATCCTCTTATTTCATTGGTCAAAAACAGTGTGTGTGTGTGTGTGTGTGTGTGTGTGTGTGTGTGTGTGTGTGTGTGTGTGTGTGTGCTTTGTTTGTTGTTTATTTGTTTATGTTGTGTTTGTTTATGTTGTATTGTTGTTTGTGTCGACCAATACATTTAACACCACTCAGAAAACTTTTTAAATCAATTACGAGCAAAATTAATTCAAACAAAAAGTTGAATAATAGTTTTGGTCTTAATAATTATGTATATAAAGAATACTAATACCTATTGACCTTGACATACAAGGCTCGAGTATTTAGCTGAGACTCGTCCATGAACACTGAAGAGAATACCTCGAGTTATAACTTAAGAGGGGTCGAGTCGTAAAAGGAAGGAGGAGGGTAAAATAAAAGATATATTCCTTGTGAGAGATGTAGAGATGAAGTGAGAGATGTAGAGATGAAGTGAGAGATGTAGAGATGAAGTGAGAGATGTAGAGATGAAGTGAGAGATGTAGAGATGAAGTGAGAGATGTAGAGATGAAGTGAGAGATGTAGAGATGAAGTGAGAGATGTAGAGATGAAGTGAGAGATGTAGAGATGAAGTGAGAGACGTAGAGATGAAGTGAGAGATGTAGAGATGAAGTGAGAGATGTAGAGATGAAGTGAGAGATGGGAGATGAAGTGAGATGTAGAGATGAAGTGACAGATGTAGAGATGAAGTGACAGATGAGAGATGAAGTGAGAGATGTAGAGATGAAGTGACAGATGTAGAGATGAAGTGAGAGATGTAGAGATGAAGTGAGAGATGTAGAGATGAAGTGAGAGATGTAGGGATGAAGTGAGAGATGGAGATGAAGGAGAGAGTGAGAGATGAAGTAGGATGTAGAGATGAAGTGAGAGATGTTGAGATGAAATGAGAGATGTAGAGATGAAATGAGAGATGTAGAGATGAAGTGAGAGAATATTTTAATAAGATGAAAGTATTGATTGTTGTTGTTGTTGTTGAGGCGAGGTGTGAAGACTTGGCATCAGACACCCCACAACCACTACTACCACGACCTCTGCTACCACTACCATCATCACTACCACTATAACAACTGTCCCCACTACACTACCTCCACCTCTTAATATATTAGGATGGATGCTATTTATCTGCTATATAATGTTACGTGTGTGTGTGTGTGTGTGTGTGTGTGTGTGTGTGTGTGTGTGTGTGTGTGTGTGTGTGTGTGTGTGTGTGTGTGTGTACCTTTTGAGTTGAACCATGAAGACCACCACACCTATAGCATACACAACACAACACAGCACAACACAACACAACACAGCACAACACAACACACCCGTTTTAAACGACCTAACATAAGCGCCCCTCGTTCACAGTGTTGTAATGTTACTTGTTCTTGTTCCTATGTATGTCTTCACTCCTGTATGTTGTTACTTTCACCTGCAAATGGACACACACACACACACACACACACACACACACACACACACACACACACACACACACTCCTCCACCACACACCTACACGCTCACCAAACTACACCATCACACACCCACACACACACGTTCACTGTTCAACACACATCCAATATTTTTACCACCAAACCTTTCAGATCTCAGACAGATTAGGAAACCCGGATTATTACAGATGATAATTGAACCTCCAAATGCTAACCTAACCCCCGCCAATGCTATCGTAACACAGGATTTAACACCATTAGTACCAGCAAAATCTAGCAATAATGGCGCCAAAGTTCCCACAATGCACCACAGCGTAAAACAAGTGAATGTGGGCCGTCAGAGTATAAATCGGGGTTTAAGGTAAATTCATTGGATCCATAATTAATGTGGGTTTTATAGCCATTAAAACAAGGGATCAGACACCTCCACCTAAAATACGGCTGAGTTTACGTATAGATTAAGAGTTTAATTAGACCACAAACAGAGAATAAAAACTGTTAAGAATTTTAAAATAACTTACCATCACCTCCCAGACAAACCTTAGTAACGTTATTTGACTACAAACTTAATTATTATTTAACAGCAACAAGAATACCTATTTTATGCATGAATACAAGACAAAATAAATCAAACCTTAAATACAGGTGTAGTTCATGATAGAAGAGAATTAATTACTTTATATGTCGACACGCGATGAGAGAGGGGCGGTGGGAGTGGCAACGTTAGTTTTTACGGTGGTGGCTGTTGTGTTTACCGCCGCTTAACACAATAAACTTAACACTCACAGCGGTGATTTGTGAGTAAAAGTAAACGCTAAGACATGGGCGTGGCGGGTGACATGGGTGGGGGAGGGGGCAGCACTTACCACCTGTACACTGAGGGAGGGGAGAGGAAGGTGTTGTCTCTAGAGGAGAGGGGTGTTGTCTCTAGGAAGGGGGAGGGAGGGAGGAGGGAAAGTCTTGTTTCTGGGGGAGAGGTTGTCTGGGTGAGGGGAGGGTGTTGTCTCTGGGGGCAGGGAGGAGAAGGTGTTAGGAGTTACAGATCAAATGGGCCGTAACGTAACGTAACATAACCTAACCTAACCTAACCTAACCTCCACACCCACATAAGCTGTGGGCCTAATTTTCAGGTGATCCCAGAACCTAACAATGTAAAGCCAATAATCATACACATTACATACATACATACATACATACATACACTGTCATTTCAGACCTTTGACCTCCCCGTGACCTTGACCTGTGAGAGAGAATTAGATCTGGGGTTCTGTACTTGGTTTACTGTTAACAGACATTAGTGAGAAGCTTCAGCAAAATAGAAGGCATCACTACTACTACTTTGGTACACACACACACACACACACACACACACACACACACACACACACACACACACACACACCATCATACATCATACCCTGGTGTCGAACGAGCGTATTATGACGGAGTGTAGCTGAAAATAAGACAGACACACACACACACACGCAGAGAGGCACTACCCAAAATATCAACCCTGTGTTAAAAGGAAGTCTGTACTGCCCTGGTCAACGGGGAAGTTAAATTGTAATGTTAAATCTGGAGGTTAAGGTGTGATGATGATGATGATGATAAGATGATGATGACGATGGTGTGTGTGTGCGTGTGGTGTGCGTGATTTCTCTCTCTCTCACTGTTAGCTGAGGTTAACAGCGGTGATCAGTAAACACTTGTAACAGCGGGTGGACTCAGGTGGCTACACAAGGGCGTAGTGGACATAGTGGCTCTGACTAGTGTGGGCGGCAAGTGGTTGACCCCGCCCGCACCTTTCGTCTCCTCCGCCCTCCCTCGTCCTTATACTTCGCTATTTCCGGACACTACAGCTGACTAAATGACTCCTCCCTAACGTATAGTAGCTGACAGAGTGACTGACACTATACGGCGTCTTCGTCAGATAGCAACATGGCTGACACTACGGGGTGTTCATTACGGCAACAGGTGTGTCAGGTGGAACATAACAGGTGTACATATGGACTCTCGCGTGTTGCTGTTGTTGTGTGGGGTGATGCAGGCTGCCCACTACCCACCTCCACAGTTCCTAGGATACAAGAGGTAATAAGTGGCGCTTCTAGAATTTTCTTCCGTCAGCCATCTCCTTCCTTTATTACCTGACGCGGGTAGGTTAGGTTTGGTTAGGTTAGGTTATACAATATTACGTTAGTTTGGGTTAAATTACATCAGATTGGGTTGTTTATGTCGGATTAGGTTAACGTTAAGGTTTAATCTTCAAGAACAAGCTTGGAACGGAGGCTAAGATCTTCAGTGATCCGCCTAGTGTTTATGTACGGAAACCTGCTAGTATGATGAGCTGGCAGGTACTGGTAAACTTTGAGGAGGAATTCACCCACCACCACCACTCAAACCCACCCACCCACCAAACCCACCCACCACCACTACCACCCACCACCACCACCACCACAGACCACCACCACTTACACCCACTACCACCATTACCACCACCACCACCACCCACCTCCATTACCACCACTTCAACACCACCCACCACCACACCACTCCACCACCACCACCACCACGACCACCACCACCTCCATTACCACCACTACCATTACCACCACCACTACCACCCATCACCACTAGACTTGTTGAGCACACCTGCCCAGTCTCCACTGCCATGTTTGTGTAAATATTTATCATTCCTCAAAGACGTAAAATTTTAGGAAGCTAATACATTAAATTATATGGTGTGTGTGTGGGTGTGTGTGTGTGTGTGTGTGTGTGTGTGTGTGTGTGTGTGTGTGTGTGGTGTGTGTGTGTGGTGTGTGTGTGTGTGTGTGTGTGTGTGTGTGTGTGTGTGTGTGTGTGTGTGTGTGTGTGTGTGTGTGTGTGTGTGTGTGTGTGTGTGTGTGTGTGTGTGTGTGTGTGTGTGTGTGTGTGTGTGTGTGTGGGTGTGTGTGTGTGTGTGTGTGTGTGTGTGTGTGTGTGTGTGTGT